AGAGAATTTCGTTTACTTGGGAACCAGCATTAACACCGATAATAATGTCAGCATTGAAATCCAACGCAGAATCACTCTTGCCAACTTTGGACTGAGTAGGCAATTCAGGAGCAAAATCCTCTCTCGACATACGAAAACCACGCTCTATCAGTTACTCATCATGCCCGTGCTGGTATATGGCGCAGAAGCATAGACAGAAAGATTTTGCGGAAGATTTGCGGGCCTTTACGCGTTGGCGACGGCGAGTATCGCAGACGATGGAACGATGAGCTGTATGAGCTTTACAACGACATGGACATAGTGCAGCGAATTAAAATACAGCGGCTCCGCTGGCTTGACCATCACCGACGCTCAACTCGGAACCTCGGTTCGATATCGTACCCCTACTTGTTATCATATAGTATTTAATGTTGGACAATTTTTGCCCTTAAAATTAAAAAAATAAGGAAAATCATGTGGAGCTAAATTATTACTACTCAAAAATGCGATTATGTGGTAGATTTCAGACCTTATGTGGTGGATGTGGTGGCTGCTCAAAAAAGTGGTAGATCTACCACAATGTGGAAGAAGACCGATCACTCACTTGTTGTGGCAATGGGTAGTGATACGTTTGGTTGCTTTTCGTAATCTGATGGGTAGTGGGGGGTTGAAATTCAATTTTTTCAGTTGACTGTCAACCTGTGCGGACGTGATTTTTAATCGCTCCGCCGAGAAATTATTAATAATTCACGTAAAGCAAAGAAAAAACACAAACCAACGCGACAATACTAGGCATAAATAAGCTTTCTGCTTATTTGCCTATAATTATAAATTACTTTTTCTGAGTTTTCGCAATGCCGCGAGAAATTCAAATAAATGTGCCAACATACAATAAAATAAAAGCAGCTCCGGCCCCACCGCGCTTACCGAACAGTGAAACAAGCACCAAGTGCAGTGAAATAAACCTTGCCGTAACAGAAGCTGACCAAAAGCATTCAGCTGATCGACGAAATGCTTACTTTTCGTTCGTTTCCCCCACAAACAATGCTGATCGCGATAAATCGTACTCTCCCTCCCCCAAAACCTCGTGCATTACTTCTTGGCAACAACAAAGCACTAGCTTAGCAATAAGCACAGTAACAACGGTGAGCGCAGCTCTCACAACAACGACTACAACCACGAACTCAGCAATGACAGCGGTTTCACAACGCAGTTCACCCACACATGCACAAACGGCAATTTCGGCACCAGTCCAAGCCCAGCAACGCAGCTCAGCGCAAGTTGACCTACTTAATCCAACAACCCGTACATTGACTCAAACGAGTATTGATAGGTATATACAAGTCAAATGAAAACTAAGCCCACAGCAGCAAAAAATTGCAAATCCATCAAAAATTGCAAAGACGAAAACCACTGGCATTAACCCTCTACTGGGAAATAAGTTTGCGATTCTGGACAATGAATGTGACAAAGAGCCGAATGAAGTTTCTAAAGCCAAACCCAAACCGGCCCCAATTTATTTACGATAACAAAACTGTAGTGAGGTCGTGAATAAATTAACTCAGCTTATTGGAGACAAAAGTTTCCACGTAACGTCAATTACCAAGGGCCACATTAAAGAGACCAAAATTCAGATTCTAACTGAAGAAAATTACCGGTTGGTAACCAAACACCTTAACGACATTAAGAAAAACTTCTATACGTACCAGCTCAAAAGCAGCAAAGGACTGCAAGTAGTAATAACAGGTATAGAATCAAGTGTACCAAATGGTGATATTGCTTATGATCTAGAGAAGGCAGGATTCGCTGTTAAAAATGTTGTCAATATTATCAACAGAGCAAAAATCGCTCAGCCTATGTTTAAGGTAGAACTTAAGCCAGAAACAAAGCCAATGAATANAAAACCTCGTGCATTACTTCTTGGCAACAACAAAGCACTAGCTTAGCAATAAGCACAGTAACAACGGTGAGCGCAGCTCTCACAACAACGACTACAACCACGAACTCAGCAATGACAGCGGTTTCACAACGCAGTTCACCCACACATGCACAAACGGCAATTTCGGCACCAGTCCAAGCCCAGCAACGCAGCTCAGCGCAAGTTGACCTACTTAATCCAACAACCCGTACATTGACTCAAACGAGTATTGATAGGTATATACAAGTCAAATGAAAACTAAGCCCACAGCAGCAAAAAATTGCAAATCCATCAAAAATTGCAAAGACGAAAACCACTGGCATTAACCCTCTACTGGGAAATAAGTTTGCGATTCTGGACAATGAATGTGACAAAGAACCGAATGAAGTTTCTAAAGCCAAACCCAAACCGGCCCCAATTTATTTACGATAACAAAACTGTAGTGAGGTCGTGAATAAATTAACTCAGCTTATTGGAGACAAAAGTTTCCACGTAACGTCAATTACCAAGGGCCACATTAAAGAGACCAAAATTCAGATTCTAACTGAAGAAAATTACCGGTTGGTAACCAAACACCTTAACGACATTAAGAAAAACTTCTATACGTACCAGCTCAAAAGCAGCAAAGGACTGCAAGTAGTAATAACAGGTATAGAATCAAGTGTACCAAATGGTGATATTGCTTATGATCTAGAGAAGGCAGGATTCGCTGTTAAAAATGTTGTCAATATTATCAACAGAGCAAAAATCGCTCAGCCTATGTTTAAGGTAGAACTTAAGCCAGAAACAAAGCCAATGAATAAAAACGCAGTGCACCCAATCTACAACCTACGATACCTTCTACACCGAAGAATAACAGTGGAGGAGCCGCACAAGCGAAACGGTCCTGTACAGTCCACAAATTGTCAAGAATTTGGGCATACCAGAACATACTGTACCTTATGTCCAGTGTGTGTTGCCTGTGGCGACCGTCACACTTCCGCTTCTTGCAAGGCTATCAAAGCTGATGAGGCTGTAAAGAAATGCAGTAATTGCGGAGGTAACCATACCGCCAATTATAGGGGATGCCCTGTATACAAAGACTTAAAGTCTCGCATGAATCAACGCAACACAGCCGTACGCTCTTAAACCACTCCAACTAGCTCTTAAACATACGAACACCTCACGCCATCAACCACTACACCAGGAGCCTTTTTTGCCAATGCGCAGCGAGTTCCCATCGTTTCTTTTGCCGACGCATTAAAACTACAAACGCAGCCAAGCACGGCGAAATCAAACTCCAATCAAGAAACATTTGCAAATATTCAAAGGAATAATACTGAGCAAATGCAGTCGAACCCCCCTACTTGTGGCATAGAAGGAATGATATTGAATCTTACCCATTGTTTGACTCAATTCATGTCTACTATGCAAAATATGATTCAAGACCTCATAAAGGCTCAAAACCAATTGTTGCAAATTTTAGTGAATAAAAAATGAGTGAATTGAATTGCTTATGGAATGCTAACGGTGTAAACCAGCGTAGATTAGAACTCAGTCAATTTCTCACTGAATATAAAATAGATGTTATGCTACTGTCCGAGACACATTTAACAAATAAATACAATTTCTCCATACCTGGATACAAATTCTATGCCACAAATCACCCAGATGGTAAAGCTCATGGAGGCACAGCGGTGCTGATTAGAAATCGCCTGAAGCACAATATTCTGGACTCAAAAGCAACAGCCTGTCTGCAAGCAACTACCATATGCTTACGAAACCGCGACCAAGACTTGAATCTATCGGCTATTTATTGCCCACCCGGATTTTTAATTTCTGAAAATGACTTTAAAGATTTCTTTGATAGTCTGGGTAATAGATTCCTGGCAGGAGGCGGCTTCGACGCAAAGCATACGTACTGGGGATCACGCCTTATTAACCCATAAAGCGGCAGTTATACAATACCATTATAAATAGGCACAATAGACTAGAGGTCACATCTCCTGGTAAACCTACTTACTGGCCCACCGATATAAAGAAGATACCAGGCCTAATAGACTTCGCAATTACAAGAAAAATATACAGAAATAACATAACAGCAGAAACTCTACCTGAACTANGCTTCGACGCAAAGCATACGTACTGGGGATCACGCCTTATTAACCCATAAAGCGGCAGTTATACAATACCATTATAAATAGGCACAATAGACTAGAGGTCACATCTCCTGGTAAACCTACTTACTGGCCCACCGATATAAAGAAGATACCAGGCCTAATAGACTTCGCAATTACAAGAAAAATATACAGAAATAACATAACAGCAGAAACTCTACCTGAACTATCACCCGATCACTCCCCTATATTAATAAAACTATATGAACAGACCCAAAACATCGAGATTGAGCCTCGTCTAACTTCACATAACACCAACAGGCTTAAATATAAAAAGTAAATCAGTAGTCACCTTAAATTAAACGCTGCACTTAACTGCGAGGGTGATATAGACTCCCTTGTTGAACATATTAAAGAAACCTTTACACCAGTGGCTACGGAAATGCCAATTAGGAACCAAAGTGGTACCTGGGCTCGTAGTGAGTAGGAGAGAGCCGAGTGTTTTCACACCATTTAAAGAATGTGTTTCAGCCAAACTGTCCAACGAACAACTTCAGGCTGCCACGGCTAACCAAAAATACAAATGAGCTATACACACCTAGCAAGACGAACTCTTTAGAAGTAAAAGCTATAGTAAAGCAGCTTAATCCAAAGAAATCACCGGGTGCTGATTTTATAACTCCGAAAATGCTAATAGAGCTACCGTATGTTTCACTAGCAATTCTTTCTGACCTTTTCAACGCTATCCTCAAATTCGGTTACTTTCCGAAATCATGGAAAAGGTCAAAGATAATCATGATAGCCAAACCTGGAAAAGGCGCAACACAGCCGTCCTCATACAGACCAATAAGCTTACTGCCCTGTCTTTCCAAAGTATTCGAAAAAGTACTCCTATCAAAGATATCTCCCTTTCTCCATGAACGCAATTTAATACCAGCACACCAATTTGGCTTCCGAGAAAAACA